CCCCCGGTAGCAAGCCCGGGCGGAGGGGTCGGCAGTCGCTTGGCCGAGAGGAGCACGAGTTGGTGGGGTCGGGGGAAGGGGGGAGCTCTTGCTCTGCTCGTATGATTGTGGAGTATCTCTTGGGTAATGTCGAAAACAGACAGCAGCGTTACTTTACCTGTTTAAGGTACTGCGGTGGCTTCTTGCAAGAACATCTTTTTTGAAAAAAAAAAGTTATTATGAGCTTACTAGTTGTTATAAGCTTACTAGTTATTAACTTTGAATATATTGCTGAATAAAACCAAACACAAAGCTATTGGTCTTTTGTAGGGAATCCAACATCTAGGTGTTTCCCAGGCGGTGTCTTCTGGGTGAAGTGGTCTTTCCCTGCTCAGTGCCTTGTAACACCAGGTGGGTAGGGCATGGCTTAGCAGAAACGTCTCTAGATACTATCACAGCGAAGGCGTCACAAACTTGATTCCTGTTGCCCTGCCAGTTGGCATAGGAAGCTCCTGCCCATCGGTCATGCTAATTCAGCTGCATCTAAGAGTGTGTACCAAATTGCATTTGATGACTATTCCATCTTTCAAGCTGCATTTCAAACAAAGTTTCTGTGTCTGAGGTAACTGTTAGATTTCTGCTGCTATAGAGAAAATGATTTGTGTTGAGGGGCTGTTGAAAACTGCTTGAGTCTGATCTGCTATCAGAGAAATAATGTTCTGCTGTAGTCTAGCATACATTTACAACTAGACCTGTCCATGGCTGACTTCAGAACAAGGGACTCTTATGGTCCCTCCTGCTCACCTTCCTCTTTATGTCTGTAAAATGAAAGACAAAGTTGGTGAAATGTAATTCTTTAAGCATTTTTTTTTCCACATTACTCTATATGAAAAATAATAACTTGTATAAACAGAACTGATTGTTTAAGACTATCCATTTATTACTGAAGTAGACTTACTGTTTTCTTGCGAGTATGTGTGTACGCACACACATGTATGCTGAAGTCTCGTTAAAGCATTTTGGATCTGACTGGTGTAATTTTGATTGACTCTAACTGTATTAACAGTTGACCAAGCAGTGAAATGTGTTGCATAATAACCTGCAGATAGCACAGTATGATTTATGGGCCGTTACATGGGTTTATGGGTCAGTGAAGTGTTTTCTGTAATAGGACCTGAGAGAGGAGAATAAGCTAGGCCTTCAGTCTTCTACAGGAGAATGACGCTCTGATTTTAGAGTAGTCTGATTATAATTTATTCCTAAAGGAAAAAGCTGAAAAATTTCCAAAACAAATTGTAATTCAGTGCAAACAAATATTTTCAAAGTTAAGTAGTGAGAAATAGTTCTTGTACTAGTGTAATTATAGCGTAGGGTCTGCCTGTTTCTGAGGCTGTGACATTTAAGATCAAAAAGAGGTTCTTGGTAATTTCTAATTACATAATAGTTCTATTTTAGAATGGCAAAAATGAATATGAAAAACAGAGAAATGAAGGAAGAAAAAAGTAAAAAGCTAAAGCGACATGTGGTCCGAGAGGGACAACTAGAACCTGAAACTGAAAGGAAGAAAAAGAAACAAAATCTGGAGGTAAGTACTTCCAGTTTTGACTGTTTAATTCAATAAAATGTGGGTATATTGTTATCTATGCTCCAGCGGGCTTAGAGGTTCAGTACTGAATCTGAATGTATTCCATGATCTAGTTGTAATGATTCCTTGCATGTCATATACCTAGAGTAAATTAAGCCAAGATCCCAAGGTATGTTTGATTTTGAATATGATTGCAGCAGCCAGAGTACACGATCCCTGTGTTGAGTGCTTGTGTGAAAGACAGAGGATGGGTGAAAGTGCATAGGTGAAAGGGAAACCACATGGCTTTAAGCAGCTGTCATATGGCAGTATAGGCGTAGCTTAATTCTTCATGTGATCCTGAGTGGTTGGAAAAATATGAAAGACTTCCATGAAAAGCCTGTTGTCTTTAGAGAGAATGTCAAATGACCAGAAGGTGTCAGCAGTCTCTTTGTGTTATGGAACACTTCATGAATGAATTTTATGGAAGTGAAATGAGCAATTTGGCGATTTTTTTTAAAGTGAACACTTCATTTTCTTTCTTTCCAACTCCTATCCTTCAGTTATTTCACTGGAACGTTTCTGCTAGCTTACTAGTGTGCCATTTTATGGGGGGAAAAAAACCAAACCTGTAAGCTTGTTCTGGTGGGAATGATAAGGCATAAACAAGGCATTTGAATTCCGCTGTTCTAAATGGTTAATGTAGAAGGTAGACCCAAGAAATATGAAGTGGTTTGGTACTGTAAAGAACTGGAGAAGGAAAAACAAATGTTTTTTCCTTAGGAATTCCTGAGGTGGTATTAGGTGTGGTCCTGCAAAACACTCATATATTTCCTGGCCTAACATAAAATAGATTTTAGTGCTACTTGTTGCTTTCATTTATCATGAGATGTGCAGCCCAGTGGAAATCATATAACTAAAAACTAGTATTTCCTATTTTATTATTAGATTTTATTTAACCTCATTTGGCAAGAGCAGTTTTCTGAGAGTTTGTGCACATGCATGTATAAATATATCTAGCTATTACGTTGAGTTTGTGAAATTTAATCGAAAAAAGCTGTTGGCAATAGGTATTCAAAGGTCTGCAAAATCTGGAAATCTCTGCAGTTTTGAAGTCAGCAGAAATGTTCCTAGGTAAAGTAAGGAAAGAGTCTATCTCCATCTCTATCAAAGCAAAAATAGAAAATCTGATATTTATAGCTCATTAAGGGGCATATTTCTCCTTCTTTCTTTGTAAGGTGTGTATTATAGGCTGTAAGTACACAGGAGTATAATTCAATTTTAACTAAAATAATTTTCCAGGAAAAAATGTGTGAAACTGAAATGTCTAAATTAAAATTTCATTGCTGTGATGGTCTGTAGCATTTCACGTAGAAGTGAAAAACGCCAGGTAAACTTCAGACCCCTAGAAAACAGGGCCTTTTTGGACCATTTAATGTCTTGTGATAAGCTCTTAGAACAAACAAATTAAATTTTGTTGATCTCACCGACTATAGGACTGTGGAAGAAAAGGCAAATACTTAATTGAAAACAGAATCCTTAATGCTGTCATGGAACATCACTAGGCACAACAGTCCTTGGAACTGTAAGAGTTGGTGTTAGTGGGTGGCTTAAACACACGTATGTACTGCTACTTTTGTGGAATACCATATAAGGTCTATGGTGAGCCATGTTTTGGCATCAGCTTTATAAACTATAACTGTTGATAGGAAAACTGTGGTCTACTAAATTATGCTTTTCTACTATTTGAAATGGTTGTTCAGAGTGAAAAATGCTAGGCAGATCTTAAACAATTTTACCTCAGAAATGGTTAATGACTATGTCAACTGTTTGCCAATTTATGATTATTAGTCAGCACGTGTATTCCTAGCTTTATGTAAAATAGTTTAGTCACAATGGCAGTTATGCTTTAAAATGCTTTTGGTCATCAAACCTTGTCGGCATGGAAAATGTAGTAGAAAACAAGATAAAACTGCTTTGCATGAGGATTTGTACAGAAAGACTAGAGAAGCAATGCTGAGGCTGCAGAGTGATGTGCTCAGTTAGTTTGGATAGTTCCAAAGAAGAAATTTGGAACAAGATATTTGGACAACTGCTGAGAGTGTTTATTTTGGAACCTTATTTTCTTTAAATTTAATTTTTCTTTCATTACCTTAAAATAAGCTGGAACTTTGATAAATTTTAAAATTTTTATCTACAGAAATGCCCGAAGCATACTGACTGGCTCCCGATGAGCTATGGTTGCCTTTTAATGCAGTAACTGAATTAAACAAAACTTTGGCATTCTTGAAGCAAGAATGAATAGGACTCGTCTTCTTCTGAAGAATCTTACATGGGATGGAAATAAGCCAAAAGATAGCTCTAGAACACTGAACTTCAGATATATAATACATTGCTTTTGGTGGGGGAGGGGTTTCATGGGATCATTAAGCTGCTGCACTTACCCATGATTTATTTTTATTATTTTTTAGTAGGGCACTTTTAGCCTCTGAAGTGAAAAATGTAAATCTCTTAATTGATTTTGTTGTAGAGCTGCAGGAGGACAAGGTAAAAATGTGTCTTAAGTGACTGGATTTAGTGTTACATTGATCATTCTTTTCATGAAATTTCTTTGAAAAATTCTCAGGAGCCTAAGACTAAAGCATGTTACCTTGGAACAACTTGACCTTTCAGAGTAATCTTGATGTTTTATTGATTTTCATCTACTCACTTTCTTCTGTTTACATTAAATAGCAGTGAGCAATTTAAGTCCAATAAAAATGTTTTCATGAATGATCCTAGAACGACACAGCTCTAAATGACATTTCTGTAGGGGAGCTGAATGATATAAGTTCTTAATCTTTATTGAACCTTGTGGGTTTTTTTGACAGATTTTCATAATGTTACTGTTTTATTTAGCTACTCGGCAATAAACCTATATGTTTTTAACGTTTTTTAGATGTCTGAATATTTGTTTATTTTTAAATGATTTTTAGTTTGTCAGCATACTTGTATTTTAAACCTTGTTATATTTGCAGATCATTCTTTGAATTGTCACATAGTATAGGCATAAGGAAAAGAGATTTAAAATGTGCAATCTGGACTGGTGGTCATAAGTTAATTAGTGGCTTCTTAAAATTAACGGACGTGTCTCAGCAAGTGGATTTTATTTCAGTTCTCTGAAAAGAGTATTTACACTGTTGCTAAATAATAATCTTGAAATAACAGAAGCATTAGAAGTATTTGTTTGCAATTACCCAAATATTTATTCTGCTTATGGATTTCTTCATCTTTTAAATTTTAGCTGCCCCAGTGCTACACAGTTTATAGAAAGAGCAGTACTGACAAGCGCAACGTGTTGCTCCCTACCTACAAGTTGTGATTGTGTTGTTTATGAAGGCTAGTTGAGTTCTACTGAGAATGACCTTACTGTATCAAAGGATCTCTTAACCTTGTAACTTAAGGGTTTCTCCAGTCTTGTTTTCAGAGCTGCAGACTTCCTCCCAAACAGTGAGAAATTCTTCCAAAGCTGAACAGCTCTTAAGCAAGACAGACTCAAAATTCATAACCCTTAGAAAACAATATTCATTTACCATTCCTCCCCAATTTAGTTTAGCAAACACTGTAGCCTTAAGTAAAATTGAGTAAGAAGCAATCAATAATAAATAAACCAATCAAAGAATATAAATCGATAATCCCAAATCCTGCTATGCACGGTTGAAGGGACGCTATGTTATTTTACGTAATGGTCCTACAGTCAGTAGGGGTGTTCTTGTATGCTCCTAGTCATTATTTTCAACACTGCAAATGGTTGAAGGAGGAGGAATCAACATTTTTCCCCAGATAAAGGCAAGATCAGTGGGAAAGGAATTTAATTTTTGAGATTCCATACAAATAGTCCAAACAATGGCAAATAAACAAGTAGCGCATAGTGTTTCTTTAATCAGAGGGCTAGTGTGCAGGTGCCCAAACAGTAAGATCTATTTTTTAAATGGAAAATGGCAAAATTAGTAGGGAAGGCCAATGACGACTTACTAAACTAGTACTACAGCTAAGCAAGCCACAAAAAATGATTCTTTATAATCATTGTCTTGTTTTTAGTGGTGGAAAGCCTCGTAAAATTATGTTGTTTAAGCTGTGGAGATAAATATTTTGGCACAAGCTTGGTGGAATTGCTAAGAATGCTACTTTGTAGTATCTAAAATGCTGCTTGTAGTCAGGTAACTGGGATAGTAATTTGAATGTTTAATGAATGCAAACCAGACAATCCTACAAAACCTATTAAGCGGATACCATAAAGCTATCATCTGGAAGTGTATTTATTTCTTGGACAGCTCTCTAATTCATGCCAAAGCCTGTTGTCAAAAATGAGTTGTAGATGATCTGCAGACAAGCTCAACAAGTCTTTTACTTTTTCCATTAATTTATTGTTTTCTTTAATAAGAGGCTAATCTTGTAACCATCAAAATAACTCTCTTCTTTTCCCTTGCTGAAAAGTGCTATCAAGTTACAACTTCAACTGCACTGTTGCAGGGTATTCTGATTTCAGACTCAGTATGTAGCTGTATCTTTGCTTATATACAAAAACTTTTCAGAAAGCCTTTGCATTGTGACTCTGCTAGCAACTTTTCCTGCGTTTGTTTACTTTCACACTACCATCTTAATCTGATGTTGTATGCTTTAGTGTTATGCCTTTTTGTTAATATTTTTGCTTAAAAATTATGTAGAAATCCAGTCTTACATGCTGAAAAAAGGAAAATAATTACTGAAAAGTTCCTTTTGTTTAGCGTAGGCCTCCCACGATAAGAATCTTACCTTGTGCTGTTTTTTGACCATTTTGTTTATATCTGTTTATGTAACATAAAATTGAGTTTTGCCTATCTTATGAAGAGATGATGCAATCTTCCTTCCCACTCCCTTTGTATCTAAAGATACATCAGCAGTTGAGAACAACATTTTTTTGAAATGGATACCTCTGGTAAACTAATCTCTTATGGTGATAAAGGTGGAATGATAGCTACTTCTGAAAATGGTGAAGGTAAATGTTATATGGATGTTGCTAGTCTGCTTGTTTTGGTCAATTTGTAATGGAAATGTCAAGCCTACTTCTCTTTTCTTTGGGTTACCTTTCAGATGAATGTTTGGCCTTGTTCTGCTTGTATTTTTTTCACTTGCGCAAAGAGACAAGTTTGCTGGTACCCATTGGCTTCTGATTGCCTCTCCACAGGATGGCCTGATAACTGGAAAAAATTATGAAGATATGGTATACAGGCTATAAATTAATTTGGCATTTATGACTTACTGTGTGGACTCTTACTTGATTTTTCTCCTTTGTTAATATCTCAGCAAGATTTTTCAAATTAGAAAAAAAAAAAAAAAAACTTTGAGGGCAGCTGCTTATGGGATTGAAACGTTTGTTTCCTGGTAGCACTTTTTCCTCAGAATATCTGTAGAGTTACTTTAAATTATTTTGCTAAATCATACATTTATTTATTTTTTTAAAACTGGTAAGTTTCATTATGACACCATATAATGTTTACAGATAATACTAGGCCTTTTGTAAATGAAATGTCTAAGAAAGTACAAAATAGTGTCTGAAATACGGATATGCATAGATTAGGCTGAATAATTTCACATTCCTTTGAAAATTATTTTTGTAATGGGAGGAATAGATTTCCCAGGAAAAAGCATTCACAGCTGGGAAAACAGTTGCTACTTTGAAGATGGTTTTCCCAGGCGAAAGGCTCACATCCCCAACTGTGTTTGGTATAAACAATACGTGGTGTATTTCTTACTTTTGTTTAAAGGAATTGCGCATTCTTCATTACATATTAACCAGCAAAAGTTTCATGCTAGTTCTAGGTATTTGCCTTAATCTATATACATTTAAATTTAATTCATTTATTTTATAATATCACCAGGATATTCAAGGGATGGGGAGTTTGACCGTGAAGCACAACAGTCCCTTCTTTGCTATAAAGAGAGGAAATTCTTCCTTCTTTTCTTCATATTCAGCGTTTTCTCTCAGTTTCCATTCTTTACTTTGCGGTGAGAACTTTCCCTGAGCGTTCTTGTTGGTTTCTAATATAAATTCTTGCTTTTGTGACTTCATTGTAAACATTTTCGCCAAATTGAAACTCAGCACAGGATTCCAGCTAGTGGGCTAAAGTTATCGAGTAATGGTCTTCAAGCTGTTGCTGAAGGAAGCAGCAGAGGCTAGGTCTGCTTGACTGCATTGCCACCTTGCTCCACTCAAATGAGAAGACTGTATTATTTGTCAGTTATGGGTTGGTTTTTTTTTGTTGTTGTTGTAGCATGTTAATATCTTTTAATTCACAGTAGAGTGGCATCATAAATGAAAATTGCTGGAAAAAACCCAAATTATTTAATATGGAAAATTGGACACGAAACTTCAAAGCGTAAGCGTAGGGGGGACAAAAAAAGTCCCATTACATGTTTGAACGCTCAAAACACATTCCCCTCGTCAAGAAATTAAGTTGCAAACCTGAAAGGTTAAGTGTGCTACCTTCTGATACATGATAAAGAACAAGGAAATGAGGAAAGGGGATTACTCTTGATAGGGTTTTAGAGTAGGAAGTGCATACAGTGTAACATACTAGTGCAAGCCTGAATCTTGTGGATTTGTTACTTCCTGTTTATTGCTTTTGATACGACTTAGTCTTTCCAACAAATTAACATTAACAAAAATGGCATTGATTTGAGTATTTGTAAGTATGCTAATTCCAAAAAGCAGCAGTTTTGTGTCCCTGATGGAATACCACTGCTTTTTTTTAACAATATGGGAGTCTAGCATAAGGGTTTTTTAAAAGTACAAACTGTTGTGCACTGATGGAATTATTTTTAAAACCAAAAAACATTTTGGAGCAGGTAAGAGGGGGATGATGGCTGCTTCCATAGAAAATTCTAGTTTCTGATATATGCTCACTTGAATTTTCCTCCTCCAAAATGCCTTTTGTGTTTAGATAGAACATTGTGAACCAAGTGAAAGGTTAGTGTATGTTGTTTAACATTTAGATTAATGAGTAAGTTATGGAGTAGATAAAACAGCTGCTATACGTTAGATCAAAGCTAAATGAATTCATATTTATAAAACATCTGCCTGTTACATCCAACAGGTAATTAGAACAGAAAATTAGTCTTAGGACTTCTAGAAGCTGCCTCAGACAATGAGGCTATAGGGTATGAGGATGGTTGATAGGGGAACCTCTTACTTAAAGAACTAGACTCCATCTTTGACTGCGTTTACCTATTTCTAATTGAATTCCATAAGAGTTCTGTAGGACACTAAACAGAAGAACATCGTGCAATGTTTATTAAGTTTCTCAGCATTATCTTAATAATTTGCATCTGTGACCTAGGTGTTTGCAAACAGGAGATGCACACAGGGAAGACAGGGCTCTGCTGCTACAATGTTACAGTGTGAAACATGTCAAAACTGCTTAGAGAATGTGCTGAAAAGTTAGATCTGGATCACTTAAAAAGAGCGGGGAGTTGTATAAAAGAGAAAATGAAGTCTTAAGCATGTAGGGGGGGAAAATATGTGCTTTTAATAACTGGCATTCTATCCTAAGTGTACATTTTTATGTACCAAATAATAAATAAGCATTATTCATATTTACCCATATGTAATGTAACCAGATAATTACAGAACTGTTATATTGAACTGTAATACAAAGCTCATTGAAATCAATAATGGCCTTTTCATAACTTGGGGTAGACTCAAGTCTTTTTGTACCTTGTTGACTTTTTTTTTCCTGGTTACCTTTGAAATAGGTCGCACAATAAAATCTTGTGACCAAGAGCCAAAAGGTCTATAGCACTGAGAGTCAAGAACAAAAATCTAGCAGGGAACAGGGAGAATTTTCCATGGCTCTTCATGCACCCCTTGTGACCTGAGCGTGCAGTTAGGTTCTGTGTAATTTGATGTTAACTTTAGCAACTCCTCAGCCAGCAAGCTTCAACAGTGTCATACATCATCAATCATCTTTACATTAGAATAAGAAAATAACATGGCATGTTTTTCCCTGCTCTAAGAGTATGATCTGTTTACTATCAAATGCCTGTACCAAAACAATTATTAAGTTTTTAATGATATAAGAAGTAATCCTTCTGACTTTATCTATTTGAAAGCTAAGAAAATTTATAAATTAAGTTCCCATAGGCACCATCATTCATTATCTCTGTCTTGCTACTCAATCAACAGATGGCTGTTTGGAACATCATAACTAGCGTTTGAATGAGCACTTTCCTCTGTTTCTCTCTCAAATTGCTGTGTGCACTTCACTTGTAACTAAGTGCTGGAACACAAGAGTTAAAAGCTTTCTGTAGTCAGGTAAAGGCAATTTCCCTTTTATAGTTCTGAATGGAGGGAGAATGGAAAGAAGAAAATCTTATTTGACATTATATTACTGTTTCTATTGAGAGAACACCCAGGAAAGGAAATGTTTCTGCTGCTGAGGCAGAAAACAAATCTGTCTCCACCACTATTAGGCAATTCTACCATTGAGCTCTTTCTGTCAAAATAGCCTTAACTCCAATCTCCAAGGATAATTTAACAATACTCCAATAATGTTGCTGTTTCTCTAGTATGTCTTTTTTTTTTCTACGCAGTTTTTCTGAAGTCCTTCCAGAAAGCATATTCTGTGCAATTTGAAAAGGTTTTAAAGCTTTTCAATAATTTTGCTTGCTGGGGAAATGAATTGGGCTGTTTAAGCAATGTTGTTGCTTTGGGAAAGCTTATTCTGATGCATTAAATGTTTAGGGTAGGTAAGTTTAAAACTTAGAGGAACTGCTATATATATTGTAGAAGACTAAACAATATGAAAAATAGATTGGAAACTAGGATATGGTTTTATCACTGGAGTTGAGTGACTTTGCTGACGCCCTTCAGTGGCCATTCTAAACAAATATGTTGCGTAGTGAGACTTGGACAATCTTTAAAGCTGCTATAATGGAATTCACTGGATGTACGCAAAGTAACTGAAATAGCATATAAGAGACAGTGCAGCATCAGCTCATTACTTTCTACTCCATCTTAGGTCCTGAGAAGGCATTGCTTTTTTGTTGTCATCTTGGGTGGCTGGGTCAGTATGCAGCTGTTTATTCTTAGCTCCTGGCTGTGTCATACTGCCGTATGATGGAATGGAAGTCTAAAAGAAAGCCAAAAGCCAAAGGCCAAAAGTTTAGTGTACTGTATGTCAATGTGGAATAAATAGTTTGGACAATGCCACTGAAGAAAGGACATCTAAATTATAAATATGAATGGAGAGTGTTCAAATTTTTAAGTCTGGTGTGTCTCTCTTCAGAACATGGTACGGGGTGTTTATCATAGTGTATCTCCTTGACAGCAGACCTAAGAGTGTGCAGACAAGATAGTCTGTATGTATGTCTTTAAAATGGCATGTTCACTGTCATCTATTGTTGCAGATTCAACGTAAAAACGATAAAGCACGATCCCAAGGTGGAAAAGGTTTATTGATGACATTTATTAAATAGAAATGTGAAAATAATAATTTTCTTGAAGTAAATAGTCTTTGAACAAGGAATGGCTAGGTCTAACTGTGTAGTGGTGAGCTGCTGTTGATGTAATTGATAACGTGAGGGTGAACCTTTACTGCAAAGATATAACTCACAACAATAAATTTAGCCTCACGTGTTTGTATGACACAAGTCCTAAATGTCTGATGGGCTGAATGGATCAGGTAAGACTTTTGGAGTTGCAGGGAAGAATACTCTCCCTCATCTCATTTTTCTTCCTGTGAAAAAGTCCCAGTGATTTAGCCCTGATTCAGACTTCAGGCTACTTTAAGAATATCTAAAACATCAAAGAAGGAAGCTGTCCGTAGTTATATGATAAATGTTGTTATAAATTCTGAACCCCTCTCCTCGAACACTTGCTCCCCAAGTTAAAATCAAACACTTATCTTTGTTTTCATTCACAATCAAACCAATTCATTGTGTCACCTTTGTGAATAACTATTAAAATTGAAACCTGCCTTCTTCATATACTCATTTGTTTTTCTACTTAGGTAGAAACAAGTTCAAATGGGATTAAATGATAATCAGGGTTGAACTTGACATGCTTTTTCTTAGTGTAAACTGCTTTGTAACAGATTTCTCCTGTTGCAATCCTAACTATTCAAAATTGTCCAGACAGCCTTTTCCCTTTTGCAGTCTCAATAAAGAGCTGATAAACTATAGCAAAATTGCTGCATGGAAAAAATTTATTAGCCTTTAACATAATTTGATGTCCGGAAAAAAGATTAGAGCCTGCATTATACAGCCAGTACATTTTATCTAAGAGGTAGATACTTAACCTGAAACTTTAAAAGTATTTTCTTCTTTAAAAGAAAAAAAAAAAATCACAAAATTTTAAGCTTGCCTATTTGCAAGTTTAGTAGAATGGATTTTATGTGCCAGACAAACTGTTTCCAGTTAAAAATATATATGTCAGATTACACTAGGGGGATTTAAGATAGGCTTGTACCTTTTTCACTTGGTAGAAACAAATCGAAGGAAACTGTTTTAAGAATTCTAATTTTACTTTGCTATATTTGTTTTATAGGGTATGTTCTCTCTTGGAATTGTTGGATTGACTATTCTGAACATTGGTTTTCTAATTTTGTGTGGAATAGAAGCAGGGGGGATGACCTTTCTTGTACCTTGCCAGTATTATGTCCAAGCCTTGCCCGGAATCTAGGATTTCCTGGCTCATTGATTCAAATTCCCTGTCACGTTCACTCACGTTATGTGATGCTTTTCATAAATTAATCAAACTCCATCTTCAGACAGAGTAATTCTGCTTTTTCTAGATTTGCACTTGCTGTCCTTGCACAGCCAGTATTTGGCAAATCTCCTAAAACTGTTAACATGTTTAAATGGTCTCAGACAACTGTTTTTCTCACAACTTTCTACACAGCTGAAGAAGGAGAGCTTTCAGTCGCATCAGATTCAGACCACTGGTAGATTATGCTCTTTGGGTTTATTTCTATTCTTGACATTCGGTAATACTTCGTGCATTTAAGACACTTTTGTTTTAAGGTGTTATTTTCAAAAGCAAGTAAGTGTTTCAGGGGGATCTCGATTTTTTTTCTGTTTTTTTTTTTTTTTAAACTCATACTAGACTTTTCTTCTCTGTAGACTTGATAGAGATTATTAGAGCAAAGAATGTAAGCTTCTGTCATGAACAGATTTTAAATTTTATGTTTGTCATCAGTCCAGCATTTTAGAGAAGGGTATGGAATCAATTCTTTAAATTAAACAATTTGTGAGAGACCTGAGAGAAGTGTTGAGTGAAGAAGCAGTATCAGAATTCTTACTGACTTCCATTTCCTCTGCACGCCCCTGAAAACGTTTTGTTTGCTGGTGATCATGCCTTTTAATTTTAAAGAAAACTGCATAAGACATGGTGTACATGGATGAGACTTGGTAGCAAATTACTTCAAAGTGATGGGCTGGAGAAAGCATATTGATTAGCACTTATGAAATATGCAATATATATAAACATAGAAGCCATATGGCATTTTTGTAAATATTACTTTGTACATAGTTGCCATTGGAAAAAATTTTCTGCAGATAAGTGTGCAGTTTCTGCGCCCAGGAGAGGGCTTTTTATTTATTTAAAGTGAGTAGTGTGTTTAAATTTAATCATTTTAGGTACAGTTCATAAGCCTGTACTTAGACATAAAATCACAATATTAGCAGTAGGAAACTCATCACATAACTCATATTTGTAGTTTTGTTTTACATATGTAATAGGTTGTTTCAGATTGAGGAGTTAAATATTGCTTTCTTCATATTCTAGTAATCTGATCTTTCCTCGATGTCACTGCGATATCAGGACACTACTGAATATGATAACGTAGAAACATACCATCAAATGATATGTGTGAGCAGATATTTGCTATTAATATTGTATTGGATTATTATGTTAAGTTTTTGAACATAGGCACTTTCTTGATTTGTTACCTATAATGGTGATGAAGTGACATTCTTCCACCATAGTCTTGATCAAAAGAAAAAAAAATCCTATATTTGAAGGGGAGGGGAAGAGTTTACTCCTATAAAAGCAAAGTGGGCAACAATTGAAATTGGGAAATTGTATTCCTGTGACACCAAAAGAAGTTACTTTATTCATGGCAAGTGTCAAGATTGCACAGGCAAATATATTTGTATCCTCAGAAGATGTCTTATTTCATGGAACTCCGTCACTAAAAGAATCATCCATTCCTTCTGCGTTGGCTGAAAGGCCAGTATTTCAAGGTGAAATTAATGTATGCTGGCAGTTGATAGGATGTGAGTAATTGTGGTTAATTTTCCAGCAAGAAAATACAGAGAAAAAGGGCTACATGTATTGTAGCAGAATAATTGTTATCAACTTGTCTTACACAGGGGAGGTAATCCTTGCATCTTTCTGGAAAGAAGATATACTCGGTGCTTTACAGGAGAGATGTGACTAAATGAAATTGGTTCTTAGATCATGATAAACGGTCACTTGCAAATCGGCACTTGCAGCGAACTCCACCATACAGTTCTTGTTTCTGTCAATATCAGGAATATCTAGATATTTCTATTTGTAGGTCAGTTATTTTGTGGCTAAAGTTTCCACCCAGAAACTTTAAGTATTTAGTGAGAAATATGAGTGGAATCACTGTCTTTACTGTTTTCTTTATTGCATAGCAACTTCATTAATTCTTTTGCATGTCTATGTTTAAAAATCCTTGAAAAATCCTTTCATGAAACTGATTAATCCATGTATAACATTTGAAAGTAGGACAAAGCATCTTATTGTGCAGAGATCTGATTAACTCAGCACAGAGGTGAAATTAGTTTGTGCATTTCAGAGATACAGTAAGTGATATGTTAACTGTCTTACACATTGATCTCTGGATCTGTGTAGTATCCAGTGAACAAGGTCAGCAGTAACTTGTACTAAACATCATCCCCATTTAAAACCCTATTATTTTCTAGTAGAAATTGGAAACTATTGTTCTCAAATACTTAGTGCTAAAATCTGTTTTCTTAGTATAACCTGTCTTTCAAAATGAACAAAGCAATCAACAGGCATCTAAAATCTTGAAAGTTCAGTGGTTGGGGAGGTGGGATGGATGGTGTGTAAGGTGCAAATCTGAGAGCTAATCACATTCACCTTTTACAAAAGTTCTTCCATCCCCCAAATCGACACTTCTGACATTTTCATAAGCAATTCTTATTCGTATCTTATGCATATCTTATTCTGTCATATGCAGAAAGTGATTTCTTTTCAAGCCACAGTATTTTGTTCTGGCAATCAAAACAGACATGCTAAATGTAAAGATATCTCATGCACCTTCATTTAAATATGAAGGCTGTGAAAGCAGAGGTATGTATGCTTGTGTTTTTATCAAAAAGGCCAATTATGTCTGTCCTGGAAAAGATTGTCTTTGGCAATCCTTAAAAAACAAAACGAACTATTATATTTTGCTTCTGTTAAGTTCTTTGAGCGATATAGTCGCAGATGATGATTTCAGTTTTGATCGAGTGCTGATACACCAGTAGATTACATTTAGGAGTAGAAAACTCGCCATTATACTATATTATATTAAGATTAAAAAAAATTAATTGTGAAATACATGCTAGAATAGAATGTGCTCTATAGTTCTTCTAAGCAATGTCATTTAACTTAACATGTTTAGATGAAAAATCAATGTTTTCTGCATCTCCACATCAATATTGTAATGATTTTTTCCCACTATTATGGCAGCTTCATTATTTAAGTGCAAGTACCTTATATGCCAGCAAAGTAGCATCTCTGATAATCAAGTTATATCCAGAGTCTTCCTAACTTGATGAAATTTTCTGCTGTATTATCATTCATACATGTATAATACAAAATAAAGCTCCATCAGTGCTCGGCTTTTAATAATCCTGTTCATAATTAAATACAAATATGACTAAAACATTCTTCTACATTAAAGTCTTGTCATAAAAACATTTGGAATATAAACCTTCAGTACTCAGCCGGGCAATATAATATACACACACACACGTTTTTCTGTTAGTAGCAAGCATTTTGTTCATTATTTGCACAAGTTCAGTCATATATTTTATACGACCAGTACTAAGTCAGACTTCCGATTGCTCATTACTGTCAGGAATGACAGACGTTAAGGCAGCCTGACAAAAGCGATTTAACGTCGACATTTTAGTTTTCTGTTCAATATACAGTCGCAGTTTGTCTCTGAAGGTTTCACCTAGAAAACTGTAAATTAAGGGGTTCAAACAGCTATTAGAAAAAGCTGCTAGGTTCACAATATGTCCTGTTAAAGGATAATCATGTCTGAAAGACGGGCTGCTTGAAGAGACAGGTTCGCTTTTCTTTTGAAGAAGTTGAACACTAATGAAGACGTTTTCAGGTAACCAGCAGATAAAGAAAACCAAGACAACAACAAAAATCATTCGAAGAGCCTTTTGTCGCCGCAGACGAAGACTCCTATGCTTGTGTGCTTTTACAAGAACTCGAACAATTAATGAGTAACAAAGACCGATGATCACAAAGGGAATGATAAACCCCAAGGTTATCTCTAGCCACTGGATTTCTTTTACATCTGCAAAACAGAAATAGACCTCTCCAGTGTGTTGCAAATGCACGGCTGTAAATGGAACTAGTGCTGCAGAAATGGACGCCATCCATATGAGACCACAGCTTAATCTAGCGTGTTGCATAGTGCGAAATATGTTGGACCTCATTACTTTTGCCAGTGCTATGTATCTGTCAAAACTCATCCATGTCAGAAAGAAAATGCTGCTATACATGTTGATCTGAAGAAATAAAGACATAAAGGTACAAATAATAGTGATATCATAATACTTCTCATCGAGATTAAAAACCTCAATGAGGGAATCGGCAACTAAAATGAGATCAGCTACTGCAAGATTTATGAAGTAAAGGTCTGGAATAGTCATTTTTTCACGAAAGCTTATGTTTACAACCAGTATCAGAATGTTTCCTACAAAACCAATAGGAAAAAGAAATATTGTATAAAGGCATGATAAGAACAGTCCAATAACATATTGTTGGTGTTCTGATTTATCAGCCAATCTAGAAGATATACTTTCATTACACAAATGTGATCCATTTAGGTTTAAAGTTGTGCTGTTACATATAACTGGTGATATCGAGGCTGAATAAGTTTCCATGGTGCGAATATCTGCAGAAAAGGTATCAGTACTCACAGTTTGGTAGTGATGCCAAAAAAAATTAGATTTTTGATGTTTCCAAAGAAGTTCAGAGTAATCATTTTGAATGGAAAAAGATTCTCTCTTTGTAGAGGAAATTAAAATTCATTGGAATCCAAGTTAGTTAAGTTTGAAATTGACTGAAACATAACAGTACAAGAAGTACATTTCTTAATTTTTTTTACAGGACACTATATACATTGCAAATGAGGGAATTTTAGGTTCCTGTATGCCTTAAGATCATGTAAAAATCTTTCTACCATAATGGTACTTGGATGTCTTTAATGAAAACTTTTTATCAGTCAGCATCAATAGTGTTTCTTCTTGCAGGTTGGAAGGTAGTAGAATTTTAGCTCCATTTGTTTTCTTTTAATAATGAATGATCATCCTTGGACCTGCAATTTGCAAATGGAAATCCATTAATCTAATACCCCAGCATTGTCATGTACCATATGCTTTCACTGCCTTAACATACACAGCTGAGGTTGTAGAAAACATTGTTTGAATATATATGTTTTTTACATATTATATATATATGTAATCAGTTAAAATTAGATTTGTTCAAATTTTGCGTACCCTTTAGGGACTCAGTATTGGAAAACATTATAGAAAATCAGATGTGTGAAGTTGGCCTACCGAAGAAAACTTTATAGGTATATATTTTTATTTCATCAGCGAGTAACCTTATTAAGTAGCAGAGTCTATGGCTGACAAGACAACACAAATGAAAAGCAATTGATTCCATCTGTTTGCATACGGAAGGAAAAGGGAAGTTTTAGAAATGAAAGTAATACATCCAGCATATTTATTTACACCAGCATTATTATGCTTAATTTTCTTGTCTTTATGATTAATTATACTGCATTGACTTCCAGAAAGGAGTGGAAAGCGTCAGTTCTCCTTTTTGTTTACTTATAAATGTAGAATGATGTGGACTTGAAGCATTGCTAGAAGTTTATTTAAAAAGAAAAGACGCCACGAGCAAATGGAATTGCAAAAAAGTGATAACCTAGAGCATTTTCTGTTAAACTTTAACGTTAATTTTGAGGTGATTTAATCATTATCTTACTACCAAAATTTTCATTTTAATTACACTAAAGACATATGTAAAAGTTAAGTTGTTTATTAGTAAAAGACATGCATATTTTCACATTTTAATGTTTTAAAATGCTACTCATACAGTCTGGGAGAGGAAAAAGAGCAGACCACCAGTGGAGTAGGAATATTAGAGTATTTTTCTTCAGCAATATAGCTCTGAGTGTTTTTTTTTTCTTTTTTAATGTATTCAGGTTTTTAGAAGTAGCTAGCAGATACTTAAATAAAAAGATTAACAGCTTTTGCTTCTTAATAAAATAGGCATCAGTATACTATAATTGTTTGCTACGTTTTGAGGCATTTTCATAAAGTAAATCTTTATACAAAAACATCCCTATAAAATTATTCTTATTTGAAGAAGGCTTGGTGTTTGTTTCAAGCAGGTCAGACGTGAACTGTTATCTTTTATGTAACATCTCTTTACTTCTGAGTAAGGCAGTAAACTGCTTTAAATGCAATAAGGGATAAGTTAATAGTCTAGGAAATTGATTTTTAAAAGGTAGGTCTGTAGTCAGATTTCAATTACGTACAAAAGTCCACCAAAAGCCAAGCAATTACAAACATTAAGGTAACTATATACTGTGAAACACTTCATTTTACCTTAATTCCATTTCTCCAGAGCTGATTTTCTTCCAGACGCCAGAAGGCTGGTTCTTGTTCACAGACACGCTTAAATGGATGTGTCGACTTCAACTGTACCATCAGTAAAAACTTGTATTTAGGTGTGCAAAGCTGCAATGAATGCCACCTGTTGACCATTCAGTAGTAAAAATTGATATAAAAGTCTATTCTGTTTTAAAATATCTTAAATAAATGACAGTTTACAACAGCAAAAGGCAGATCTTGCTGCATGTCCTTGGCAATAAAACAAGCTTTATAGATTCCCAGGGTCGTTCTAATTTGTGTTCAGTTGAAGTGGTGCTGAACAGCCTTATAAGGCTAGAATTAACCCTGTTTCTGCTGGTTCCTTATTTTGCTAGAACTAGTCAAACATCTTCTACCTCATATTTGTCAATTTCATTCTTTTCAACTTTTATTTTGCCCTCCTTTTTGCCTTTAGCATTTATTCTCATTATGTAGCCTATTCGAACATGCGGCTGTGCTGATCAATAATTGAGATTTGTTTGCAAATGGCAACTAAGCATATTTCACATACACGCATAACAGTAAATGCTGCTTTGTATGTAATCTTCTGAAAAGCCTCCTGGCAGTCTAAAGAGAAATACTAGATTTATAGAAATCTAGCAGCTGAGAAGGGTCATTTACTAAGCTGATAGTATGCATTTCAGTTTTCCTACCTTCAGGTTGCTCCCATTTTGCCTGCTTGTATTTAATTTTTCAGGAATCCGTCCTCATCTTGACACTTCTTAGAGTTGTTCAGCTCAAAACCACATGTGTTAAATAAGCTTATTTTGCAGAGGATGTGGAGCCTCAGTCTTTCATGCAAACACCAGTTTTGCAGGTGGAGTTTTGCATTTCATCTGTAGGGGGGAAAAAACTAGCTGAAATATCCAGAAACACCACCTGCTGGTGGCTGGAATTCATAAAATCAAAATGGAAAGAAAAGTCTAAGTAAAAAATCAGTTTATTAAACCTTTATTTATTCCATAAGAGAGCAGTATCTTATATGTGTAAATTACTTTTTATGATCTGATTTTGTAATGTAATGTGCTATGAACAGATATGCTGTACTTCATTGCAGTATGCTACTGAAATGAGATGAATCGGATCTCAGCGTTTAGGATTTCAAGAAATCAGTGTTACAGTTTCAGAAGTGTGACGTAAACAATTAACATGCCTTTATAGTGGATGTATTAAAATCTATTACAGTGGCTAAATATTTTTAAATTATGGAAGATCTCATCTCTATAGAAAAATGAAGCAAAAATTCTTACACAGGGGATTTGGGGAATAACAGGTACTTTGCCTTCTAGTACTGTTGACAGAAAAATACTATTTGCTAATTTTGTTGCAATGTGCTGTGTATGGGACCACAGGATTTTGGCAGAGTTATTTTAAAAAAAAAAAAAAGTTAAGGTCTTCTTACACAATGACTCTTCATAAATATGTTCTGGAGTAAATTATTACTTCATTTAAGAGTAAGATAAAGTTTGTGCAAATCAGGAAGGGGAAAGATTTACTCAATAGAAGACTTTCGCTATTAGTGGAATGGAGTGGGTTTTTAAACAGGATTATGAGGACGGAGTGCCTAAAGTGTTTTGCTTTAAGGAGTGTACAAGTATGATTGTTTTATAGAACTGGAGTAATCATAATATTAGAAAATCTTGTGATACCAGCTTTACATGTCTGATTTGTTGCTGTCCTAAGAACAGGATTATAAAGAGAGTTGACTGTTGTTTGTTGATCATGTGTTTTTGCTGTACTTAATTCTGTCCGTCAGAGTTTTCACTGATCTTGAAATAGCCAGAAGGATTTTTACTTTCCTTGATGTATGATGTTAGCTACTGGGTGTTAGCAGCTTTTAATTATAGAGGCCTGCATTAGATAATCAACTGGTCTCTCTGTCCTTGTTTGTTTTTCCAGCTATGAACGTGAGTTGATTTGCTATTAAAATGAACAATTTTGTTATGAGTGCTAATTTTTTTGTTTTACTTCATGACAAGAAATATGTCATTTTGCCATACCTTGAGAATGACTAGGAAGTTTTCCTCTGAAAGAGCACAGAATAGCTCTTCTTCATACTAGTAGAACTATGAAGCCTATGTGGCCAAGTCTAGTATTATTATATTGTAATTAGTGAGTTCTGTATTTCACTGTATATTTTATGAGATGATCATGTGAATTCTGAGTCATTTCTTAAAAGAGACGACAACATCTTCAGGCCTGAATATACTCTCTTGTTTATCCCCTCAAGTTATTGTTACTGATTAATCCACTTTAGTCTCACTGTTCAGCCCTTCCATATTGAAAAGGGATACAAAATACCTAAAACCAATTTTAGTAGCTATTGAGCATTGCACTTGCTTTTTCTGTATCCTTTATTGATATTCCATGGGAATTTATAATGAGTGTCTTAATGATCCGTGTGTAGTTACAGTTGTGCCACTGTTAAAACTTATATTTCTTCCTATCCTACCATATCACCTTTACTGAGGTGAGAATGTGCATGATAGCAACTGGTATGATAGCCTACATATAATGAAATGTCAGACTGCAATAATTGAGCATTTAAAATTTTTGTTAAAGTTTTTTTTTTAACTATGTAGCACTCAACTTCTTATTAAAATATATAGTATTTGAGAAACATAGCACTATATTGTGTTCAAGAAACATTCAGGTAATATATATACTTAGGTATACTTAGAGGTTTAAAGTGGAATATAAAAGGTATTCTGTGTAATTTAGCAAACTTCAACACACATGCCTACTATTACGTTGCAAAAAGTGGGTGACAGCTGATGAGGAAGAAAAGGGGGAGACATGAGTATGGGAGAGGACACAGTAAGACGTCCAGCGCATCTTACCTCATGAACCACCGTAATATGGAAGTTTCTCCAGCAGGATAAGTCCTGCAGATGTGAAAGCTGTTTAGATTCTTCCAAGATGTGTGGAAGAGCATTGGAAGCATCATGAAGCCTTTGAACCCTGGAGAAATAAGATCAGGGCCAGGACGTATAAAGTTGAAAAAAAGCAAGGTACTGTATTGCATCAAAGCAGAAGGAAGTACAAAATTGTGTTGGAGTGCTTTACAGTGTAATATAACCTTTTGCAGAAGAAAAAGGATTTGTATCAGGATCTCTACTGAAATTATGTTCAGAGGAAATACAGATACTGCTGTCATGTTTGTGTGCTTTTAAAAGTACGTAGGTCTGTTCTCCTTCTAGATTCTCTCTCATCTTTCTCTTAGCACGGATGCTTACTCTGACCTCTTTCATCCACTGAATGGCACTTTCTTTCTGGACCCATTCCCCTGCTTTGAGGCACCCTCATGCTTTATCCTGGCAAGTCTGAGTAACTTTCCCTTACTTGCAAATAATGCAACTCTTTAGTTTGGATAGGAACAAATAATTGTGTTCTATGCTTGCAGAGAACTTTGGCTAGAATGTAGTTTATGAACCGACTTTTCAGTTGCCAATAATTCAAGCAATGCATTTTGCTTGCTAAAAACAATAAGTTCAGCCCTATCTTCTGCAGGGACAACGCCTGTACCCATTCAAACGGTTCTGGTAAAAACTTTACTTTTCTTAAAAAGTGTATTGCAATATACCTGAGGGAGAATATCACAATCTTACAAAATTTGACCACATAGCATGGTAAAGTGAAGGATGATTAGTCATAGGGTTTCAGTCTCTATCCAAATGTGATTAAAAAAAAATCACAATGCAGCAATCCTTTTTTACCACCAGTGTAGCTGAGGCCAGCAGTCCTTTGCTGGGCACTTCATTCACCTCTTTAGCTGCACAGGTAAAAGCATCAGTGCTGTTGTCACTAATTGATCCCAGTTGAGAGAATAAGAATCAAGATGCCATGGAAGCGAAACACATTCTTTCACTCCAGCAAGTGAATCAATGTGTTGTGAAACGTATATAATGTAGACGTTATATATAGAGGACTTGTTTTAGCTGAATTGCTTGCACTTTCGCCCTACTCCAAATCTTCTGCCTCAAAACCAAGCTAAATAATACTGTAACCCTTTTGAGGTCTGTTAGTTTGAAACTAGAATGCTACTGAGGCTAGGCTTAGCCCTACAGAAGGGAGAGTAGCAGCTCAAGTTATGATTCAAGTGTGTAAATCCAGTCTTTTTAGCTCAGATGTTGTTTTGCAATGGGATCAGATCAAATTTGAGCCAACTGGTTCAGCAAAGAAGAGTCCTTACTTCCTACGTGTACTTTTCCAAAACATGTTATCAACTCAGAAATTCAGGCTTAAACAGCAGCAGCCTGTCCATTCCTCTTATTTTTCTGAACGGAAGGTTTTTTTCCAAAGCAAGCAAAAGTCTTAGAAAAATATGAATATTACCAACTTAGAAATAAACATCCTTCTTTGAGTTTTCCAGTATATCCCATTAGTTCATTTTGACAGCATGCCTATAAAAATATATGCTCTATTTCTTCTGGAACATACTGTTCAAAAACTAGGTGAAGCCTGGAAGAAATAGTGTTTAACAAAGTTATTGCTGGTTTAAAGAAAAAAAAAAATCCCTCTGAGCAGGCAAATTTTGTTTTGTTCCTAGGGAATGCACTCCAAATTAATAATCACTTAAAAATGATAACTCTTTTATGTTGGCCATAGCTGCTCTTTTCCTCTCCTTCAAATCTGACTATTTTAGAATGTCTTTTGGGGACTACTTCTGTTCCTTTCCCATTGCTCATAGGGATATCTCCCTCATGTTCCAATTGGAGCAAAGTAAATCTTCTCTAGGTCTACATGTTCATTGTCCTAAATCTTAGTGGAAGCTTTGAATAACTTTATAATTTATAATTTTTAATTATTTAATTAAACTGTTCTGTGTTGTTAGAGGATATATGCATAGCAAGTCAAAGTATTGTTACACATTTTCAGCCTCTTTTCTCCTCTTTATCTTTACTTTCTCTCATTCAATCCAAACAGTCGTCTTGCTGTATACAGAGATTTCTGTGTGACCATATCACCAGCCGTCCAGAAAATACTCTTTTCTCCTGTGACAATAGACCTGGTCAGGGAAGAGACCAGAGTGCATTCATATATATTGCATGAATGACAGCCAAATGCTATACCCAGGAGTACTCAGAGATTTATACGTGGTAGTTCATTCTTGACAAGATCTACACATTCCCAAATCTTAGCTCTGACAGTCGGCCCCCTCAAGTTTTGTTTCGTTAAAGTTATGATTTTAGTTTAGCTGTATGCCTTATTGAGAGTATCATTAAGCATGCTTCCACCAGTGTCGGACCTTCTGACTTATCTACAGGTGCATTACTGTGATTCGCTCACCATTAGACCAGTTTCCAGGTCCCAGCCCAGGTTATCTAACTGGAGCCAATATATTTCCACAGTAGACTTTTCCTTTGGGCACCTTTAACAGTAACTGAGATTAAGGTGACTCAGAAACCACCCAGTATTTAGTCTTTCATCCTCAGATATAAAATATATGGAAGCTGTGAATGAATTAGAATCCTTTGTGCATATTCCCGTACTAAAAAATAACCTACTTTATCTGTGGTGCAGCTGAAGCTATGCTATTCTCTATCTAAATTGGGATAAACAGCTTGCGTCGTTTGCCATATTCTTTCACTCCGTCTGTCAGCTTTTGTCATTGACATGCTGCTCTTACAGCTTATCTCTTCAGGCTTCTTCCTGGATCAGGCTGATCTTCGATCTGTCTTTTAATCTCTTTTCAGGTGCAAAACAATAGCTCTGATGCCAGGTTTGGAACTGAGAAACCCTTTCACAACTATAAAACTGGTTCTTGTGTTTGAAGAGATGATTCTTACATATTTCCTTTCTGACCAGGTTCTATAATGGTCTATTTTTATGTAGCCGCCTTTAATTATCCATCTGTTCATGCTGGCAGCAAAACAAAATTGAACAGGAAAGCAGGCTGACATAATACAATGCAGACATCATACCAGTCGATTTTTACGTCTTGCAGAAGCATTGGTCCTTATGGTCCTAGTTAGTGAGACTACATATTGTGCTCTACTTGCATGTGATACAGTCATGTTCCATAAATTTCAGGACTTAGATATCTGAGACTAGATCCATATGTCTAAATACCAGATCTAAATACTGTATTATTATTGGACAAATGGCCTTTATTCCTCCATTTATCTTCTTGGCTGTTTTGCAGAAAGTGTTCCTGCCGATAGATCAGAGCCAAGTCTTCTGTAAGTTGGGCAGCCCATGCTGATTTGCACCAACTGTCCATACAAACCTGGACCCTGTCAAGAAGACTTTCCAAAGCATACAATTGCAATAAAATGTATCGGTTTCTTTAGCATCCAGGTATCATCTTTCAGCCAGTCAATTGCAGTCCTTGTAGTGCCATGCAAAGGTCCGTGGTTAAGCATCGAAGCAGCTCTTCTCGAAAACCTTCAAGTCACTTCTGAGCCTTTCTCATCACATCAGCATATTTTTAGGACTTTGTAATCCAAGTCTACATCTTTATCCAAGATTTAGTATGATTCTTGTGCCTTTCCTCTAGTTTCTGTTCTCCTCCCTGCCCATGACAGGAAAAGTTGGCTTGTGCCCGAATTCAGTAACAGTAACAATGTGCTTAGAGCAAGTATCTAAAACTTTTCATCTATATCTCAGCCTCTATTAGTTACTGATTCTGAGGGCTACACCTGGCTACCACAGCTGCTGTTTTATTTTTCATTTCAGGTTTTTTTTCCTACTTTGCACCGTTCACCCATGAATTCTTATCCAAATGCATAATGTTCCCTATCTTATCTCTAGGAGAGCCTTTACTTAAATTAGATAACGGGGCTCTGCTTTGTTTTGTAAAAGCAAGCCTCAGTTATACTCTTCTGGGCCTGGTTTGTCCTTTTTTTTTTTTTTTTTTAGGAAATTATCCAGTGTGATTCTTCCTAGGTGTAGTACTTAGTACTTTTGAATGAACCTATCAAGAATGACTTAAATCAATAACTGCATTAAGTCTTAAAGTAAAGTTGAAGCCAAGAGTAGTTTAACAAAAAGCCTTCATCCTTGCACAGGAGTTTTAATTGGCTATCTTGTTGATCTTTGCAGTTCAGTGCCTCAGAAGGGCCTCAGCATTTTTCTTTATGGACTAGAATTTCCATTAATTTTAGGGGGTTTTCTTTCTTTTTTTCTTTTTTTTTTTTCGGCTGCAAGAATTCAGACAAAAACCTTAAAATCTTAATGGTCCCAACAAAAGTAGAAAAGGAAAATGGAGAAAGAGAAAGAATGCCAAAGTTTTTTATTCATTATATACAAATATATATAAAATATAGTGTCTATACTTTGTATGTTCTTATATGTAAGTTTATATAGAGAGAGATATATATAAAAGTGCAGCAGGCTTATAGCATTGCAGTATAATTTCAGGATTATAGTGGACCCTGAAGCCATAATTCATTGCCGTTGCTACTGGATTTAACCAAGATTATAAAAAATGTGAGTATTGTGTAGGGGAAGAAATTCCAGGCAAAAGAGAAAGCACAGCTGAGAAAATGCTTTTGCTGCAGATTTTTACCTTTGTTCAGAGTTGCTTTCTGCTATGTTTTTGGTTGCATCTTTGCCAGTGCATTGGTGTTATTACAAAAGCATGCTTCTATGGTAACACAGAAGGTAGTCTAAGTTTGGGGTTTAAAGAAGGAACCATTATCCTATATGAAGAACAGGAGGGGAAAAAAAAAGACAGTTCTTAAAAAGCAAGTATTACTGAGACCCACTTTCCTGATTCGTAGATGTTACTGGTATTTCAAGGTGATTGTTGGTGGTGTTTTTCTTTCTGCAGTTCCGTATGACTTTCAGTATTCCATCTTTGCATGGTTTATGAAAACAAAGTATGAATATCAAACTAGCACAGCTCTCACAGAACAACACTATTTCTGCAGTATTCATCATGAGCTCATT